ATTCAACAAAGAAAAAAAAACAAAATGGCATAATGAATTAGGCCAGAACTTTTGTCTCTAAAATCAGAGCTTGTTCGTCTAAATATCGGTCTGTTTTTATTGTTAGTGTAAACTATTATATATATATATATATTTTTTTTTTTTTTTACAAAAATATATTTTTTTTTCTCTCTTACATTTCTGTGCTATAAAAAATCGTAACAACGATCACTTTTAATTCGGCCGAAACGATGGAAATTCATGCTTTAGTATACATATATACATATATATATATATATATATATATATATATATATATATATATATATATACATGTATATTAAATCGGTCATCGAAAGTTTCGAGATAAAATGAAATAGAGTTTTATATGGAAACACGAACATTGGTGAAATACATGGGCACGTTGGAAAATACGACCACCAAGGTACGATTCATTTACATTCTCGTTTGCGTGACACCTATGGAACAACGCTAATAAATTGTCTATCTCTGAGGAAATTTTTTTTTTATTTCTTTTTTCTGTTTTTCTTTTTTCTGTTTTTTCGTTTTTTTTTTCTTTTTGTTTAATTACTGTCTTTCCTTTTTTTTTGCTCTCTTTATTTTTCTTAACTCTCTTTTCCCTTTTCCCCGCTCCCCTTTCCCGAGATAAAATTTCCACGAATTATGTTCTCATCATGGTCTCGTAAAAATTGTACAATATTTCGTCGAATCTTTTTTTATAGATCGAACGCTTGGATATTAATTTATTTGTAGAAAAAAAAAAAAGAAAAAAAAAGAGAGAATGCAAAAGAATCGACAGGATCTAAATAGCAACATAAAAATACATTTTAATCGTTTAATCGTAAAGTAATTTCGATCGATCGTCGTTAAAGTAAATTTTATCAAAGTTAAATTTTCATCGAAGCTATTCTTCGAATCAATCAATTTTCATAAATTACTCTAACGTACGATCTGACGTTATTATTATTATTATTATTTTTTTTTTCTTTTTTCTTTTTTCTTTTCTTGCTTTTTTATTTTTTTTTTTAACGACATATTACTTCGATCAAAAGTTTTTTTTTTTTTCTTTTTTTTTTTTTTCAATTATATCACATACGTACATTTATTTGTTCAAGTACAATTTGGCTAAGGGCAAAATTTCATTATGATCGTACTATTATTATCTACGTAATAATATGACGTAGAGAAAAATGAATGTCTAACAATTTGAACGACATAAAAATGTCCTTTATAATTAAACTTGCAATAAATTTTCAAAGTAAAGTAAAAAGAAAAGAAAAAAAAAAAGAAAAAGAAAAAGAAAAATGGAAAAGAAGAAAAAGAAAATATCGTTTAACTCAACTCATTGCCGTACGGTATCTTTAACGTATATACTATCGAAATTTCAAATTTTAAAATAATCGAAAAGAGGAGCAATCGATTTGTAAAGAAAATAAAAAAAAAGAAAAAAAATAATTGGTATTAGTTTAAAATTTTTCCTTTCTTTTCTTTTTTTTTCTTTTCTTCTTCTTCTTCTTTTTCTGATTTGTTCAGTTCAAAAGATCAAAAATAAATTCTTTTCTCGTCAATTCTATCGGAGTATTCGCAAAGTTTCGCAAATTACGAACTGTTAATTAGTTGGGAACGTATACGAAAAATTATTTTTCTTTTTGCCCTTTTTTTTTTGTTTTTTCTTTTATTTCCTTCTTTTTCTTTTTTTTTTCTTTTTTTCCTTTTTTTTTCTTTTCAATCGTCGCAACTAATCGGTAGGAGGTATATTTATTTTTACGTTATCGGAAAAGTAAACATCGAATGTAGCGTATAGTTTGTAAAAAGAGAAAGAGAGAGAGAGAGAGAGAGAGAGAGAGAGAGAGAGAGAGATAAAAATAGAGAGATAGAAAAGATAAAAAAGCTTGAATAGCACATGACGTATTGTTGCGGGCTATGACGTAGGAAAAGAAGAAGAAGAAGAAGAAGAAGAAGAAGAAGAAGAAGGAGAAAACAAAAAAGGACAAAAAAAAATGGTAAGAAAAGAGAAAAAAGAAGAAAAAAAAATTGGAGCAGTCGCAATAATCTCGATTGTTCGTTTTCCGACGACTGAATTTTCCATTGGGAAATTAATTGTCACTTATCGACGATACGCTCGTTCTAAGATAAATAAAGAATACAAAGAGAAAATCGAACAATTTCGACGAACTATTTTCTCGTAAAACATCGTCATTTTGTTATTTATTCTTTCATTTACATTATTTCTTATCCGTCTCTAGTCACGTTTCATCATAGTTCATAGTCTCGAATCGTGAATTGAAATTACACGATAACCTTGTGAACTTAATGGTTCGATTAAGGTTTTAATATCGTAGTAATTATTTAAAAAAAAAAAAAAAATATTCATTCATTTTCGTTCACATATAAATATCTACAAATTATTTCGATATCGATCATTATTAATTTAAAATCCTAATTTTGTAAACTTCAAAATAATTTCAATGTTGTAAACTTGGCATTGAATTACGATCAAACAGACATTTTTGTCTCTCTCGGCTCTCTCTCTCTCTCTCTCTCTCTCTCTCTCTCTTTCTCTTTCTCTTTCTCTTTTTTATTTATAAGTAATGAATAATTTTGACTCTGAAGAAAAAAAAAAAAAAGAAAAATACTGTATATTCTTTGTAACCTCGATAATTATAATCGATAGTTTCGTAAATGCATATTTAATTCTGTCATTAAAAAAGGAAAAAAAGATAGAGAAATTTCATGAATCATGCAATCCAAAAATTATTTCAATTTAGTTCAAATTTGGCCCAATAATGTTCTACAGCTTAGGATTGCAGTAAACGATTAAGGTTAAATAAAATAGTGTGAGAATTAAAGTTGAGTTTCGCGTACTCTATTGGGAACAATTTCTTCTTCTTCTTCTTCTTCGACATCGATGAACTTTCAATGAAAAGAGATAAAAAAGAAAAAAAAAAGAAAAAAAAAAAAAAAAAGAAAAAAAAAGAAAAAAAAAGGAGTAAATACAAGTAGAATTTTTTCTATGCTCTTCACTCGTCTTACGTTCTATGCATAAACACGAATATAAAGTGAAACGAAAAATGGTATGCAATGTAATTAATTATATCTAAATATTTGTTTATTCGTAATAAAAAAAAAAAAAAAAAAAAAAGAAAAAAATAGGCAGAAGGCATAAATAATAAATGCAATTCTCGATCATTTAAAATGGATATTATGTAAGAGCAAAGATGTAAAACGACATAAGGAAGTTACATTGGAAACAAGCCATTATTTCTAACGAATATATACATAGCATTATATTAGTAAATAACTTTAGTAAATAACTCCAAGGACCCTCTTTAAATGTTCCTCGTAATATCCTTTGTTTCGCGAAGAGTAGATAACAACAGTTAAGGACCGTCGAAGACTACTTCGATACTGAAGTGAATCTCCTTAAGGGTATCGAAGTTATTATCAAGAATCCATAGGAATCATGGATTGTCCCTTGTCTTATCTGATAACTTTATTATAAGGAGAATTATTTAATTCGGTTAATTCCGAAGTTTTATCGATAAAAGAGAAAAAAAAAAAAAAGAAAAAAAAAGAAAACAAAAAAAAAGAAATGGAAAATAGGATCGAACGAACGAATACAATGAATTATAATGATCTATACGAGATAACGATTAACGTTATCATTCGTCGATTACAATGAATTCGATTATTCTTAAATGAATTAATTAACGAGGATATGATTATTTTATCGCTTTGTATATATTATTTTTCTGCGAAGAAGAGGGGAAGAAGAGAAAAAAAGAAAAAAAAAAAAAGAAAAAAAAAAGAAAACAAAAGAAGAAGAATTAAAATCATACGATAATCGATTTAAGAATAAATATTAAAATATTCCAAGACGAAACATGAACGACGAAATATTATTGATAAACTTTATCATCGATTATTATTTGCGATCAATTATCGACAAAAATTTTACTTTTATATAATTATAAATTATAATCTCTTTATTCTTTTAATTAAGTATACTAGTTGTTGTGCGAGGAAAAGAAAAAAAAAAAAAAAAAAAAAAAAAGGGAAAAAGAAAAAAGAACTCGAGCGAATAAAATCAAAAAAAAAGCGATACAATTAATTTTTCTCATTAATGAATATCAACAACGATGGAAACGTGACAATTTTTTGTTGTTGTTGTTTTTTTTTTTTTTTTTTTTTTTTTCTTTTCCTTTTAAACGAACCTAACACGATCGATCAATCAATCAAATGTAATATTATTAAACGTTGAAAATAATGAGAAATGGAAACAAACGAATCGGATAAAATCCATTTCACGTTATTCTTTTTTGTTATAACGTCGAGTAAATTTTCTCCCTCCCTATGTGTTAACGAAACACATAACTAGGTTGACATAACTGGATTAACTTGCTAATTAAGGAACTCCGAGAGTCTCCTATGGTTGAGAGTTTCATCCTCGAGGCTTCGAGGTTACGCTTCCTGTTAAAACTTGATGTATCATCATCATTGAACTATGTGTCGGTGTCGATATCATCTATCTCTCATTCTTCTCGTTATATTACTTTCGTCGTTATTAATTTATATTTATCATTTCTATAAATTTATTCTTTTTATTAATTGATAATAATAAAATATGCATAATCGTAAATTAGGTACGACGATCGTTCAAAATTATCAATTTAATTTTTAATTATATAATTAATTTATCATCGACATTAATGAATATTTTTTAAGAATTACTTTTATCAATTAAATTTCATTATCATATTAATTTTCATTAATACGTGATACGCGTTCAATCAAAACTTTATTATCATTATTATCTTTTATTATCTCACGATTATTGATCATACTGTCTCTCATTGTCTCTCTTTCTCTCTCTCTCTCTCTCTCTCTCTCTTTCTCTCTCTCTTTTTCTTTTGATAGTTTGATAGGATCAAGTTAGATTTAAGAGTTTTAATGATTTAGGATTTTGATCATCGATCATCGATCCTTTTTATTTGTTACAGAGGATGACGCGTCTTGTGATTTTCCTGTTATTACTATCGTGTACCTTTGTCAACGCTCGTAAGTATTTGAACGTGTCAGGTGACATCCTACTCGGTGCCCTTTTCCCGATTCATGGAAAGGGTGCTTCCGGTGAAAATTGTGGAAGAATTAAGGTTAGTATTGAATGAAACTAAAGATATTATAATTTAATCCTAAGTTATGAACAATTTCAAATAATTTCAAAGTTTGTTTTACACTTGACAAATGACGATAAATCCGGAACAGGCACTTTTGAATTTAGTTCTCTCATTTCTATGGAATGAATAATCGTTTACTCCGAAAAGAAAAAGGAAAAGAAAAACAAAAAAAAAAAAACAGAACAAAAAATCGTATACTCATTAAAGCTTCGGAAATAACAATTGGTAGATTTGAAAAAAAAAAAAAAAAGAACGCACTTTCGATTCTATCATAAAGCAAAAAAAAAACAGAAAAAAATGCGCAGAAAATTGTTTCAATTGAGCTTAAAGTTGATATTGTCTGATGTATACAACAGCCCATAGGCATGACTAGGATTAAAAAAGGTTTCATCGTAATCGTAATTGTTTCATTTCGTTTCGTTTCGTTTCGTTTAGCTCGAAGATGGAATTCAACCATTGGAAGCGATGCTTTATACGCTTCAACAAATCAATCAAGATCCTAAAATTCTACCGGGTGTTCGTCTTGGTGCATTGGCCTTTGATAGTTGCGACAATCCAAGTTACGCTTTGGAACAAGCATTGAATTTCGTCAAAGGTAATGCATCGAATTTCTCTAACTTTCGTCAAATCTCAATGACTATTCTCTATCCTTTATCTTTATCTTTCTTAAGTTATCATTTCAATACTCTATTCTCACTTAAATCTTTTCGTTCTAACGTCATTGTTGTTATCAGGTTTCATCGCCCACTCGAATGAATTTCACGTTCAGGAATACGAGTGCAGAGATAAGAGCGTACCAAAGTTCTCTAAAGGTGGATTTGACAAAATTGTAGCTGTCCTTGCGGACCAGTCGAGTTCTGTCACCATACAGGTAACATTCAAAATAATCTCGAATAAATTCGAACTATAACCTTTTGTAAGAGATCGACGTTACTTCGTTTCAAGATCAGATGGATTTCTATATCATTATGAAATTTTATTTAAGAGATAAATAATATCCATTGACTTGTCGTTATTACAAAGATTCTAATATATTTCGTAAACTTCGTTAGGTTTTATCAAAAATATAGAAGAAGTGACCTTGAAGTTCATCGGATTAACTGATCAATGAAAAGCCATGTTTCATGGCAATTCAGAAATATACCTTATCGTTAGACGTATACCTATTGATTAATACTTTCTGATTACTAAGCTGATTTTTCTTCTTTTTTTTTTTTTTTTTTTTTTTTTTATCTATTCAGACATATTGTATTTTCGAATGTTAATCCGAGATTCACTTCTTTTTTTCTTTTTTTTTTTATTTCTCTATGGAGAAAATGACGTGGTTCTTTTTCTTTTTTTTTTCTTCTTTTTTTTCTTAAGAATAATCAATTACTATTTTTTTTTTTCTCTTTTTCAGGTAGCATCCATGTTGAAGTTATTCTCAGTACCACAAATATCCTATATGGCTACCTCACCGGCGCTCAGCAATAAAAAAATGTATCCTCATTTTTTCCGTACGATACCAAGCGATTTGAATCAAGCTCATGCGATGTTGGAAATTCTCAAGTAAGCTTGAAAATTGATTGTTAACAATTATGCCAATTGAACGATTTAACGATTAAATTTAATTTAATTTAAAAGTTACAAAATTCTTTGTTTCTTTTTTTTTTTCTTTTCTTTTTTTTCTCTGCTTCTTCTTTTATACTGATTTAAGGCAATTCGAATGGACGTACGTTTCGATTGTTTATTCGGATACGGAATATGGAAATCATGGTTACGAAACATTGACGTCCTTGGCAAGTTCATATTCCGTATGCTTTAGCGCACCTCAAAGGATTAACAAGGAACATTTTAATAATGACGATTACGATACTGTTATTAGTACGATCGTCAATAAAACTGACGTACGAGGTATGCAAATCTCTCTCTCTCTCTCTCTCTCACTCTTTCATAAAAAAAAATATATATATATATATATATTCTTTATATGCCGTAAAAATATTTTCATTGTCATCGAAATACGATAAAATAAATAAATTTTCAGTTGTGATTCTATTCGCGGAAAAATCAACGACACTTCGCGTGTTAGATGCTGCGAAACGTTTGAACGTAGGTACGAGATTCCTTTGGATAGGAACAGATTCTTGGTCGAGTTCTAATCATCGTGATTTCGCTGATCTCGACTCAAGTCGTAAGGGTCAAGAGATGGCAGTTTTGGAGGGTGCACTTGTGGTACAACCACTTTCACGACAATTGTCCGGCTTCGATGATTATTTCACCAATTTGAGATTGGAACATGAGAAAATAAATCCTTGGTTTCGTGAATTTTGGCAGGAATATCATCGTTGTGGAATCAATGATACCGAGGTATCGAATATCCAATATTATTGATATTGTAAAGATTCCAAAAAAAAAAAAAGAAAAAAAAAAAAAAAAGAAAAAAGAAAAAAAAGAAAACAGAAGAAGACAAAAATTCATTTACATTCTCGTTTTTCTTCTTGTGTTCTTTTCTTTTTTTATTTCTTCTTCTTTTTTCTCTTTTTCTATTTTTTTTTTTTTCTTTTTTTTTTCTTTTCTTTTTTTTTTTTTTTTCAGAGCACAAACATCACCAACCTTTACGACGATCCATGTCTCGAGGACGATAACTCGATCCTAAATATCTCGATGGGTTACAAGCAACAAAAGTTTTTACATTTCGTTAGAGATGCCATATATTCAATGGCCCATGCACTTCATGACATGCAAAAAGAAAAATGTGGTGTCGGATATTATGGTATTTGTCCTGACATGAAACACATCGATGGGATCGATCTGACGAAATATTTACAGAACGTTACCTTCAAAGGTAAATATTACAAAAAAAAATATGTTCAACGATTAAAATTCAATCGTATAATAAATCAAATCTCTCGAGGCATTTGTTTTAATTGAATTACATCATTTTGGATTATATCATGGATTACCATGTTATTATTATTATTATTATTATTATTATTATTATTATTATTATTATTATTATTATTATTATTATTATTATTATTATTTCCTCCCCCCACCCTTTAGATGACGCAGGAAATAAATTCAGATTCGTTGATATCGCCGATGGACCGCCTAGATATTCAATTTTGAACTATCAACGTAACAAAGATGGTGGATATCGTTGGATAGTAATTGGCAATTATACAGGTAATTGATATAATTAATTAACGACAAGTAAAATTGCGTGTTGATTTTTTTTTTCTTCGATGAAAGGAGAAAAACAAATGTTTGTTTTTTCTTTCTCCCTTGCTTTCCTTCTCTCTCTCTCTCTCTCTCTCTCTCTCTTTTCTTTTCTTTTTTTTTGTTTTGTTTTGTTTTGTTTTGTTTTGTTTTGTTTTCTTTCCTCACAGAAAACGAGAACGGTAAGCCAGTATTGTACATAGAAACGACCGCTATGAAATATCGAAATCAAATGGAAGGTGGTAGAAAATATTTTCCAAATTCGACCTGTTCTCGTCCATGCGAATCAAATCAGGTTATTGTTCGTGAGGAACAAGATCTATGTTGTTGGAGATGTCGTAAATGTGGACTTTATCAATATAAAGTGGACGATCAGAGATGCGAGGATTGTTCATTGGGTACAAGACCAACGAAGGATTCTAAGAGTTGTGCTTCGATACCAGAAGATTATATCGATTATTATAGTCCATGGGCGATCGTGGCTATGGTGGTCGCTGTTATCGGTAGGTATCGATGTATTTGGGAAAAAAAACAAAAAAAAAATCAAGAAGAAAAATACCTATCAAAATTAAATCCCTTACGATCTGATATAATATAATATAATATAAAAAAAAAAAAGAAAAAAAAAAAAATTTATTATTTTATCGATAGGTATAATATTAACTATCTACGTATGGTTCGTCTTTCGAATTTATGCCGAGACTCCGGTGATAAAGGCGTCTGGTCGTGAATTATCATCCCTTTTATTATTAAGCATTTTAGCATCATTTCTAATGACATTTGTGATCGTCGCCGAACCAATTACCGAAACATGCGCCATCACCAGATTTGGAATTGGTTTTTGTTATACATTGTGTTATAGCGCATTAGTAACCAAAATGAATAGAATACATAGGATATTTAATAATATTTCTCATAGTCCACGTAACACGAGGTAATAACATTTAATAATAATAATAATAATAATAATAATAATAATAATAATAATAATAATAATAATAATAATAATAATGATATTATTATTATTTTAATTATCTTGAAAATATTTTCTTATTGATATTAACGTTGATATATTTTCTTTAAGATATACCAGTCCTAAATCACAATTGCTTATAACGGGAATATTGATACTATTAGAGATAATTGTCAATGTAACGTTGCTCGTGATGATACCACCTAGGGTAAAATACATTTATCCAACGAGAGATACTAAATTAAAAATTTGTCAAGGTCTCAATGATAGATCTTACATGACCAGCCTGATCTATCCGTTCGTTCTCATAGGTAAGTCGACGTTAGAAAAAAAAAAAAAAAAAAAAAAAAGAACAAAACATTTTTTTTCGACACTTTCGATCGTCGATCAAAATCAATCATTCAAATCAATTCAACGAACGAATTCACTTTCTTTCTTTTTTTCCATCCACATTTATTATTTCGAATTATAGTTATATGCACCATATATGCGATCAAGACGAGAAAATGTCCGGAGGGTTTCAACGAGACCAAACACATTGCCTTCACGAATTATACGACCATTATACTTTGGCTGGCATTTGTACCGCTTTATCTCGTTTCTAATAGCAATGCCATAAGGGTCGTGACATTGGCATTGTCCTTGTCATTTAGCGGTTTGGTACAACTTGCCTGTCTCTTCTTTCCAAAGATCTATATCGTATTGATTAAACCGGAGAAGAATACGAAGGAAGTGGTAATGGCACAGCATAGAAGTTCATCTTACTTACCGACCTCTGCAACACCTGTCGTAGCATTAAACGGTAATCCATTTATTTTTCATACGACTGAACAAAAACTCTAAGAATTTTTTTCAAAATCTCTTTATACATACATTTGACAATTTGTCAAATATATATTTTAAATGAGAATTCAGATCGAAGTGATAACGATGATACAAGCTTACGATATTTTTAAAAACATATTAATTACATTTTTATCAATATTTTCTTTCGAATATATATATATATATATTTATTTATTTATTTATTTATTTATTTATTTATTTATTTATTATTAGAGAAATTTTTTGTTCCGTTTATTAACCATAAGCACGCAGGACGCTGTTAATGTTCAAAAAATTGACACGCAATCATTTGGGAAAGAAAAGAAAATAGCAAAAAAAGAAAAAAAAGAAAAATTCAAAAGAGAAAGAGAAATTTGATAAAGCGTATCGGACGGTGTGATAGAATCAAAAAAAAAAAAAAAAAGAAAAAAGGAAAAAAAAAATAAAAAGAAAAGACAAAAAAAAAAAGAAACTATCGACTATACATATCGTTATAATTAAGGAAAAGCTTACAAATTATAACTTTTAACGAGAAAGAGATAGAGAGAAAGAGATTAATTCCTCATGAATGAGCAATTGTCATTATTGTGTTATTATATTAATTATTATTATACATTGAACCGAACGAACTCTATGTGAACAATACGACGAGCCTGATAAGAATATAATAATCAATAATTCATTTTAACGATAGACCAATAATATAGATTCTTTGATTACACATCGATTCAATACGAGAGAATATTTACGACGAGAACAATCATAAACATATCGTAATTGACGTTGATCGTGATCGTAGAATTTATTCATTTATTATCAAATTTACGATATTTATAAATTTAATAATTAATCAATTAAAATGGCTGATCGTATGTTAATGATTAAAATGTATGATTTTAAACGCGATAACGATTATTTAATAGAATAGATTGTGAAAAGCAAACTTTACGAATTTCACACGAAAGCTATAATAAAATGCATACATATATATATGTATATATATATATATATATATATATATATATATATATATATATATATGTATATATATACGCATATGTATAGGTATATACACGTATATACACATGCAAGCCAACGAAATTAAAGACCAAAATTTGTATATATTTGTATATACATAAGTCAATAAAAGTGTTGATGTTCAACGAAAAATAATATAACAGAAAAATTATTATTATTATCATTCCCGTATAGATCCATTTTAAATATCATTATAGAAATAATTTAGGACAATTTAATTAAAAGAAATTTAATTAATTAATTAATTAATCGTCCTAATGATAAAATAATTTTTCTTTTTCTTTTTCCATTCGTTATTGAAATTAACGAAAAGTACGATCGTAGTATAAGATATAAATATTTATTTAAATATTTTCTTTTAAAGATAAATTATAATTAAGTAATTTGAAATTACTTTCAATAATAATAATAATAATAATAATAATAATAATAATAATAATAATAATAATAATAATATATATATATAATATTTTTTATATTGTAAACGCATAATAGTTTCTAAAGGGCAGGTAGAAATCAAGATAGGAGAGAGAGGTAGGGGTATCATAAAGGGACATTTTTAAAAATACACAATAGATACACGCACATACGTAACGTTATAATAACGTTATTCGAAAAAACGAACAATAAAAAGTCTTCTTTTAAACGTGATTTAACCCATTAGATAAATATATATATATATATTTATCTAATTCTCTTAAAAGAGTAAATACTTTTTTAATGTAATATTTATGATCTATCGAATGTATTCGTTATGTATAGATCATATACAAAGATTATCGTATTAATTAAAAAAGAAAAAGAATAGAAAAGAAAAAAAAAAAAAAAAGAAAAAAATCTCTCGAACTCTATCTCAGTTTATTTTCTGTACAAATGTATATAATACTATATTATTATTATTTTTGTATTTTTTGTATTTTTTTTTGTATTTTTTTTTTTTTTTTTTTTTAATCATTAATTAATTAACTTCTAAGTAAAATCAATAATAATAAATCAAAGACATAAAAATGGACAGACTGTCAATTAGAATGTCTCGGATTAATAACGTTATTAATGTTATTGACAATAAATGCGATACAAATGATTTAAGTACAACGTTAAGTACTTATAAATCGAAGAATTTAAATCTCAAAAGTTTGCGCTTATAAGTGTACACGTGAAATTTTTAACAAATATTATTAATTATAATATTAATAATAATAATAATAATAATAATGATGATAATGATGATGATAATGATGATGATGATGATGATGATAATATAATGATAATAATAATTGTAATAAACATTCGTAATATATTTTTCTGTACACATATACAAAAAAAAAAATATCTCTTTCGAAAACATCTATTTATCATATGTGATGCGACGTAGTGGTTCGATTAAATCCACTTTAACAATTAAAAGGAAATTATTAACAATTGCGAGACAAGATAAGGACAAGTATCGACGACGATCGCTTTTTTTCTTTTCTTTTTTTTTTCTTTTTTTTTTTTTCATTTTCGAGCGACAATTTCAACGTCGAAAAATTGTGAAAAAGTGTCTAAGGTAAATCGCGATTTTTGTAAAATCACACTTGTTATTATTTTTTCTTTGTTTTTTTTTTTCTTTTTTTTTGTCAAAAATTCATTTCAAAAATTCGTACGCGTCGGTGTACGTTCGTAGAACATTGATACAAAAAGGCAAAAAAAAGAAGAACAACAACAACGACAACAACAACAACAACAACAACAACAACAACAACACGTTCGATCTGAAAAAAAAAAAATCGAACAGGATTGCAAAGACGATCGATCGCACGTAAGATTTAAAATGATCGAGACAAAAAAAACTTGGCACTTATATCGTTTCATTGAACGTATACGTTCGTTAAAAGAATTATTTTGTTTATAATTCGTCGTCACGTGATCAAGAGAGAACGAAACGAGAAATTTCATTGGCCAAGAGAAATCGATACAATTATTTTTTTCATTCGATCGAAAACGGTTGCGTATATTAAAGGTTGTTGTTTTGAGTGGACAGTTAAAAAAAAAAAGAAAAAAAAAAAAAAAAATCAATCATTTTCTTTTCCTTTCCTTTCATTTCTTTTCTTTTAACTGTACACAAGTAAAAAACGCGAAAGAGGATTTTGTGTGTGTGTTTGTTTTTTTTTTTTTTTCTTTTTTTTTTCTTTTTTCTTTTTTCTTTTTTTCTTCGCATTAGCAAGAATTATTTGTAAGATCGGATAAAGTTGAGAAAAGTGGACGAGCTCTTATCATTCGTCCATTATCTAGGATTGTCAAACAATTCTTCGAAGAAGGCACGATTTATCGGCGAATAATTTTCATTAATGAAGAATCTCGTCGAATTTGTAAATAATTATATTTAATTAATCGAATTTTATATTTCTATCCTGTATATATATTTTTTCTCACAATCTTTTTGCATTTTCTTTTTCCTTTTTTTTTTCCTCTTTTCCTTTTCCCTTTTTCTTTTGTTTTTCCTTTTTTTCCCTTTCATCTCAAAAATCGATCCACGATAAAAGAACTTATCACAGAATCGAATGAAATAATAACGAGAGATAACGTTATCGTTAATCGACATTGTCGATTGATATTTAATTGTTATTAATTAAGTGTACGACGAGATTCTCATTGTCTTTACATTCTTACGACACAATCCTTAAGAGTGTAGAAAGTTCTTAAGTTAAAAATAATCTAACAATCGTTATTATCCCCTTTTTTTTTTTCTTTTCCTTCTTTTTTATTTTTTTTTCTTCTTTCTTTCTTTCTTTCTTTCTTTCAAATGCAGACGATATATGTGCCCTAAAGTATGTATATTGCTCGTTCGTCACGCTAATGATAGAAAAAAGAGAGAGAGAGAGAGAGAAAGAGAGAAAGAGAGAGAAAAAGAGAGAGAGAGAGAGAGAGAGAGTAACCAATTAGGAATGCATTAAGAGAGATAAAAATTCGATTTAAACGATAACGACTATATCCTAATTTTACATTCTAAAATTCTTACAAATCTATTATACAAAACATTTCAAATTATTGCTCTTCCATATGCAACACAATCTCCATTTATGTTGAGTACTTAACTACTTCTGTTTTTTCTTCTTTTTTTTCTTTTTTTCTTCCTTTCTTTTTTTTTTTTTTGGTTTTTTTTTGTTTTTTTTTTTTTCAAAACGATCATTCGAACATTTAGAATACATTTATAGATAATAGGATTAAATTATAAATAAAATATGATGATAGATAAAAATACAATTTTTTTTTCTTTTTTTTTTTTTTGTTTTTTTTTCTCTTTTTTTTTTTTTTTTTTTTTTTTTCAAAAGGAACGACCACGTCGTTTGGTCGCATGATAATTCGATTATCATTAAAAATTTGTTATCTATAAGAGTAAATAAGGGACGCTTAATCGATTTTTACACGATGCTATTAAAATTAGAACACACATATATATATATATGTGTGTGTGTGTGTATGTGTGTGTGTATGTGTGTGTTGATAACGATGTCAAGAAAATATTTGGAAAGAAATAGTCGTCGAAGAACAATGTACCTAAGTTGACAATAATATCGTTCATGTCTACGCAGACATATATAAACTTTAGTCGAAAGATGAGTTATGGTGAAGTAATTAAAATGCAATTTTAGTTACATAGCACTCGTTACCGAGGAAAATTACTTTGGAAAAGTAAGAACGAACTAAGTAAGTAAGTAAGTAAGTAAGTAAGCAAGCAAGTAAGTAAGTAAGTAAGTAAGTAAGTAAATAAATAAGTAAGTACTTTTCAACGACTATTCATTCAGTTTCTAACTCGTGTAAAAGAGCGGCGAAGGGTGGATGGGTGGTTAGGAAAGAAGTTAAAGGAAATATAATTTCCCTTGTATCAAGAGAATTTCCATTAAAATATGGTCGGAAGAGCGCTGTCTTAAAATATAACTTAAATAATACTTTGGATGGATTTTCTGTGAAAGGAACGTGAATTAACGTATCGTCGATTAATAAAAATCCGAAGGATTTGTTAACATAATAAATAATCTATCGTTATTAATAAATTATGAGCTGCCACGGGCAAAAAAAGAAAAAATAATATCTTCGTTTCTGGAAGACGTTGATCGTTTCGTTATTAGAAACGAATCAAATGGATTGAATTATCTTAATATCTAAAAATTTTCCCATTGAAATAATATTATTTGTGCGCGCTCGATTGGATCGCCCGGATCTTCCTCTTTTCTTTTTTCCTCCTATTACTTTCTCTTTTTCTCCTCCTTTTACTTTTTTTTCTTTTCTTCTTCTTTTTTTTTTCTTTTTTTTTTTTAACTTTTCCTTTTTTCTCCTTCATCCTCCTCCTCTACTTCTTCTTATGCTTCTTTTCCTTCCAATTTAATCTCGTTAATTATCTAAACGTGTTATTGGCGATGAGTCGTGAAATAATAGCTTAATTAATGCTAAGGTCGACGTAAAAACGCACGCGAAAAACGAGAGTCATTCGTAAGACGAGAGAGTATAATATTGTTCCTATTGTATTTTCTTTATCCGCTCTTTTGTTTCGTTTTGTTTTTAAATTCGACAAAAAAAAAAAAAAAAAAAAAAAAGAAAAAAAAATAAAAAAAGAAAAAGAAAAAAAATTCACATCGATTTGCAAAAAACATATACGACGGAACGATTTGTTGTTCTTCTTTTTTTTTGGTCGCCTTTTTTTTCTCTGTCCCTTTCTCTCTTTTTTCTTAATTTTCTTCTTTTCCCCGATCGACCGATAAACATTGCTTCGACGATCGCGCATCATTGCAAAATCCAAGAGAGAACTTTAAAGAGGAACAAAAAGAAAAAAAGAAAAATAAGGAAAGAAAAAAAAAAAAAAAAAAAAAGAAAAAATGTTCTCCCTTTCTCTTTGTCGCGTGAATATTTTCTTTTTCTTTTTCATTTTTCAAGATCATCATCCTCTCGTTTTTTCACGTCGCAAGAACGTCGTCCTATGCAAAACGCGGAAACGCACGCGTTCGCCAACGTTTGCTCGTAAGGCCTTTCATGGACGGAATGGCTGATAAGGATTTTTGTTTTCTCTCTCTAGCGTTCTTTCTTCTACTTTTCTTTTTCTTTTTTCTTCGTTTTTTTTTCCTTTTTTTTTTTTTTTTTTTTTTTTTTTTTTTTTTTTTTTTTTTTTTTTTTTTTTTTCTTTGGGTGGCGCATGATGGTGTTGGGATTGTTGCTTCTTCGTTTTTTGTCCCTCTTTTTTGTTTTTTTCTTTTCTTTTCTTTTTTTTCTTTTTTTTTGTCGTCTTTTTTCACCTTTTTCCTATCTTTCGTATAAACGATTATTAACGCGATCGAACGAATTGTATCAAATGGACGTTGAGCTTAAGATTAATAAATATATTCGATTAAAATCGTATAATAATTAATATCTTACAAATATAACGTTTCTAATAAACGCGTAATAGGGCGTTTGCAATCCTTCGGCGATATAATCCGTCACCGAGGGAAGCCAGAAAAAAAAAAAAAAAAAAAAAATAAAAAAAAAATTATCAATATATTTTATTTAAGTCACACAGCCGCACGGTTCGCGAACGCACGGAACGCGTTTCGTCCGTCGCTCCATTAAATCTTCTTTCTTATATCATCATTTAACGCGTTATTTAATCCTACTAAATATTCTGTATATCTTTCTTAAATTATTATTATTATTATTGTTATTATTATTATTATTATTGTTATTATTATTATTATTATTATTATTATTATTATTATTATTATGATTATGATTATGATTATGATTATGATTATTCTTGCTTCTTTTTTTTTTCCTTTCGTAAATATTTATAAATCTAAGTTAAAATCGAAAGGAAAGGAAGAAAAAAGAAAAAGAAAAAGAAAAAAAAAAAAAAAAGGAAAAAAAGGTCCATCTTTTTTTTCCAATAAAATCGCTGATCGAAAAAGATGCTGATAATAAAAGTGTACGTCCTGTAATTGTTTTCGAATATTTTCAATGAATATGATGAATTGAACGAGAAATGATTGTATGTTTGTCGAAAAAGTGTCCTTGGGGGAAAAGAAAAGAAAAGAAAAGAAAAGAAAAGAAAAGAAAAGAAAAAAAAAGAAAGAAAGAAAGAAAAAAAAAAGAGATCGATAAAACAGATCGATTATTTCGTTTATCCTTTCTCTTTTTCCTTATTCCCCTTTTTCTCTTTTTCTCTCGTATTATCTTTATATTTCTTCTCGTAAATAAATCGTACGAGAATAATAATATTTATCCTTGAACGAGATCTTTTGGATCATTCAAAAGGAACTCTCGCGTTTGGTACGAA